GGACAGCGCCAGCTCCAGTGCCTCCAGCCCGAGCGCCTCCCGCAGCAGGGCCCCCAGCTCCAGCAGCGTGAACCTGACGGCTAACGTACCACTCACGCAGCTGCTGAGGGGAGAGAGGGAGACGACGACGAGAGTGCAGAGGCGAGGCACCAGCGGAGCGACTACGGAGACGACCGCTCCAGGGAGACTGCTCACCAGACGCCTCAGCGCCCCCAGGTGCAGCACCCCCAGACTCAGTACCCCCGGGCTCAGCACCCCCAGGCTCCGCACCCTCAGGCTCAGGACCCCCAGGCTCCTCACGCGCAGGCTCAGCACCCCCAGGCTCCGCACCCCCAGGCTCAGCACCCCGAGCAGGACCACCCCCAGCAGGACCTGAGTCACCAGTGACCTCAACCGGCTTAGACAAGGGAGGAGGGTCTACCTGAGACACACCTGAAGGAGCAGGACCGGGAGCGGGGAGGGGGTCTACCTGGGGAGGACCTGGAGCGAGGAAGAGTGGCGGGGGGGGGAGAGGGGCAGTGCGGTAGGGGAAGAGACGGTAAAGGGAAACCGACTCGTCGAACGTGACGTCCTGAGATGGGAAGACACGGCGCGAGGTGGGGTGGTAAAACTGCCAACCAGGTGCGTCAGGGACAAAGCCAAGGAAGACACAGGGAACAGCGCGGGCGGAGAGCTTGCCCGCGGTGGTATCGCGGACAAAGGCACGAGAACCCCAGACCCGGAACACCGACGCATCGCCAACCTTCCCCGTCCACAGCAGTGTGGGCGAGGTCTCCGGCAAGGAGACACGGGGCCAGAGGTTGAGCTGATGTGCAGCGTAGCAGACCGCAAACGGCCACAGAAAATGGGGGGCAGCCGCATGGACCATGGAGGTACGAGCGACCTCCATGACCAAGCCAATGCGGCGCTCAGCAACCCCATTTTGCTGTGGAGAGGCCGGAAGCGTGATCGTCTGGCGAATGCCCTCCCCACGACAAAAGCTCGCCAGAAGGTCGGAGGAAAACTCTCCACCTCTGTCAGACTGCAGACGCAGGACACGAAACTCCGTCCCGAACCGGTCGCGGAGCTGGAGACGGACAGCGCGGATCCAGGGGATCAATACATGAGAGACCTCCCCCTTGCTGCGCAAGGGGAAGCCCGTTGTGTAACGCAAGTAGTCGTCAACCAGCAGCAGAAAGTATCGCTCGCGGCCCTGTCCACGGACGCGGGCTGGGCCCCACACGTCCATGTGGAGAGTATGCAGGGGAGCAGTCGTCGGGGGGAACGAGGAGGAGTGAGGAGCGGTGCGCTGCCGCCCCTCGACACAGGGAAGGCAGGGAGGGGCAGGGGAGGGTGGGAGAGGAGGCAGAGTCTCCGGAAGGCCAGAGACCAAGAGACGGCGGTGCATGGCCCGAAGGCACTGCACCGAAGGGTGACCAAGACGGTGGTGCCAAAGAAGGGTCCGGTGCGACAGAGCACGACACGAGCAGGGGGCCGCTAGCTGACCAGACGCGGACGCAGACGCAGCTACCTGAGGGGACGCAGTAGTCAGTGTGTACAAGCTCGAGCCAGGCGCACGGGTGAACGTGGCCAGGTGCCGACCAGTCCTGGAGCAAGTACAATGGATCACCTGCTGACCTCCAGGAGTGAACTGGTCAACCCACGCATCCTGGAGGTCAGCGCCACTCACCAAGTTCGTAGAGAACGAGGGGAGGTGAAGACCCGACAGTGAGCCAGACGGGACCGCTGGACACGGCAGAACCGTGGAGGAGTGCGCAAGGACTGGGCCCCCAGAGGGGTCTGCCAGGGAGACCGCAACCGGCCGACCGAGCGGCATGAGTGTGGTGCTGTCGCGAAAGAAGGAGCGGGAAGCTCCTGAGTCCAGTGTGAAGGTGTGCAAGGCCCCAGCAGGCGCAGTACCAGAGAGAGCAGACTCACCAGCAGCTGGAGCAGCAGACTCACTAGCGCTTAGAGCAGCAGCCTCACCGGTACCTGGAGCAGGAGACGCACGAGCACCTAGAGAAGCAGCCTCACCAGCACCTAGAGCACCTGGGTCAGGCGGCACACACAGGGAACAGGCACCCGCAGCACTAATAGGCAATGCATACATGGCAGTGAGGATAGTATCATAGTCAAGAGCAAAGATATCAACCCTCTGCCTAAGCAGCTCCAGCCAGGCGGGGAGCTCCGCCTCGTCGCCAAACTCGGTACGCCAGGTGTCGCTCAGACGGGCGAAGCAGCGGGACTGTGGGTGACCAACCACCCCGCAAGCCTGACCTGCCCGATCACCTGTGCGAATGACGTACGAGCAGCGAACAGTACTCCGAGGCCCTCTACTCTGAGCGTACCACTCACGAAGCTGCTGGGGCGTAAGTGTCTCGCGCGGACGCCGCTGCAGCTGCATCTGGCCACTGCCAGACGCTCCCGACTGACCAGCTCCAGGGCGACTGCCACGACGGCCACCGCCACAACCCCAACTAGCGTACCACTCACGAAGCTGCTGTGGCGTGAGAGACTCGCGCGGTCGACGCTGGAGCTGCATCTGGCCACCGCCAGTAGTACCAGTAGTAGCAGTAACAGCCGGAACAGCAGTAGCAGCAGTAGCAGCGTGGGCAGGGCAGTGCGGCTCAGTAGAGCAGGGCGGCACAGCCCGGCAGTGCAACGCGGCTCGGGTGGGCAGCTCGGCGCGGCGTAGTGGCGCGGCTCGGCCGGCAGGCAGGCGTGGCAGGCAGGCAGGAAGGCAGTAGGGCAAGTGCTCAAGAGTGGCGGTAGGGCCGGCGCTCGGCGGGCGGCGGCAGGGTAGGCACACGACGGCGGCGACGGCGGGGCCGCGACAGCTGCGGCAGAGCAGGGCCGCGTCGGCGGTAGGGCAGGTCCGCGACAGCTGCTGCAGAGCGGGGCCGTGACAGCTGCAGGGCGGGGCCGCGACGACTGCTGCAGGGCGGGGTCGCGACAGCGGCAGGAGGCTCCGCGGCAGCTGCGGCAGGGTAGGGCCACGTCTGCGGCAGAAGGCTCCGCGGCAGCTGCTGCAGGAGCGACGGCGGCAGTCAGGCAGGGGCGGCGTCCAGGGGGCGCCGCGACGAGGAGGGACGGCGCCGCGCGGGTCCCGAAGGGGCGTCGCGCGGCTCGGCAGGGCGGCGGACAGCTCAGGTAGCGCGCGGGGCAGCAGCAGGCTGCGCGCAGGCTGCAGAGGCACGGCGCGAGCGGCAGCCGCGGCGCGCGGGGCTGCAGCGGGCTACGCGAGCTGCGGGCGCGGCGCGCGAGGCTGCAGCGGGCTGCGCGAGGACGGCCGCCGCGGCGCGCGGGGCTGCAGTGCGACGCGCGGGCAGCGAACGCGACGCGCGGGGCTGCAGCGAGCAGCGCGGGCTGCGAACGCGGCGCGCGGAGCAGCAGCGAGCCGCGCGCGGGCTGCCTAGGCGCGACGCGAGCAGCTAGGGCGACGCGTGGGGCAAAAAACGGGCGCTGGGCAGGGCGCTGGCGCAGGGCAGGGCGCCGGCGCAGGGCAGGGCGCTGGCGCAGGGCAGGGCGCCGGCGCATGGCAGGGCGCTGGCGCAGGGCAGGGCGCCGGCGCAGGGCAGGGCGCTGGCGCAGGGCAGGGCGCTAGCGCAGGGCAGGGCGCTAGCGCAGGGCAGGGCGTCGGCGCAGGGCAGGGCGCTGGCGCAGGGCAGGGCGCTGGCGCAGGGCAGGGCGCTGGCGCAGGGCAGGGCGTTGGCGCAGGGCAGGGCGCCGGCGCAGGGCAGGGCACTGGCGCAGGGTGACGCCAGGCAGGGCAGGGCAGGGCGTGCGCGCGGCAGCGCGACGCAAGGTAGTGGGGTAACGCGGTAACCGCAGTCGGAAACCATGTCAAGATAGCAAGCAGGAATGAATGAACTATGAAAGGGTTGGGTACAAGTATGAAACCCTAAAAGGGGCTGTACCCCATATTGGCTACCCCACTACAGCCTAAACATATATAGCATATATATACTTTGACAAAATGATGGACTAGGTAGCATGCATGAGTACAAGTACCTAACCCCTAAAGTGTTGTACCCCTTGTAGGCTAACCCACTATAGCCAAGAGAGAACACAAACATACAGTTTGACAGAGAGCACAGAAGGAGATCAGCAGTTTCACCACTATCATGTCGACCCATCACCGGGAGCTGAGCTTCCAGGACGGCCTGAAGCAGATGCTCAGCTCGCCCAACTGGTGCACGGCCTACCCCAACCTGGTCCGCCTTTGGATGGCGGTCGCAGTGCTGCCTCTGAGCACCGTGGAGTGCGAACGGGGCTTCTCCCGCCAGAACGCCATTAAAAGTTGGCTACGCGGCAATCTCAACGACGCGAAGCTTGGCGAAGCAGCTGCAGAAGAAGCAGCCAGGCTAGAGGAGGAGTTGGGCCCCTGGCAGAGACGGGCTGACCACGGCAAAGAGCACATGGCTTCAGATTCAAAGCTAGACGGGGCCGACGAGGAAGATTACTCTCATGGTAGCGATAGTGAATCCTAGTTCAATAAAAATGTATGGTTATCTGTAGTAGTAGTAGACTGTAGTCAGTGTGTAGACTATATATTTAAAGCGAAAGTCTGATTTCGTGCAAATTTGTCTGACTCGTCATACCAACTTACAAAATCCGTCTTAGGCTAATTCCACCAGGAATCCTCCATATGAGGGCCAGACGATTTTTTTTTTTTTGAGCAAAACGTGACGGGCCTAAAAGTTAGCAAGAGCCCTGATTGCAGGTTCAGAGCTGGCAATGTGCTAACGCATGTGCTGGGTAGTGGGCTGTTCATGGTATGAGCACCACCGCACCAGTGCCAACATATACCGTACCGGTCATACCAGTTGAGTAGGAAAGGATCACCAGTGTGCGGATCTTACAGCAACTGTATGCAGGCAGCACAACCTTGCGGGTTCACACCATCCAAAGAATAGGAAGGGTTTTGCATAAAAAGAGAAACCTAAAAATAACAATGCTAAGCAAACAAGGTACGGTACTGGCAGTACATCAGTTCCCATCCCAAGCACTCAACAATGGAGTTAGACAGCAGTGCCCTGAGCCTTGGCGGTGATTTGGTTCTGGATGTTGGTGGGCACGATGTCAAACTGTGCGAGCTGCATGGTGTAGTTGGCTCGCCCCTTGGTCATGCCACGCAGGTTCGACACATAGTTGAACATCTCTGATAGGGGTACCAGCGCATCCACCACCTGGTGGGAGGGGGGAGAGAAGAGGGAAGCGAAGTGGGGAAACATTGCATGACTAAGCAGGGGTGTGCGGAAGGCGACACGTTTAACCACTCTGGCAGTGCCACCACCAGTGCCTACAATGGGGAAAGAATAGGGGCAAGAGGCAGGGGAAGAACAGGGTGAGCAAGGGTATCAGCCATGGAGCACCTCGAAAGCTAGCATTGGTGTACACTGGAGGACTGGGGAGTGAGAGCAGGCACAATTCACCACTGGAACACCTGGGAGTGATGGCCCGGGGCATCAATGACCAAGTTGCTCGCAAACCCCTCTGCCCCACCTTTCAACACCCAACCTTGCTGCACTCGTCCATGCTATTCCCCTCCGCCCGCCCAGTTGTAAGCAACTTACCTTCCCCTCAATTGCATGCAGTGGTAACCTGACCCCTGCTGCTGCTACTTCTGCTGCTTGGGCCACTGCTGCTGCTACCTCTGCTGCTTGGGCCACTGCTGCTGCTACCACTGCTCCTTCTACCACTGTTCCTTCTACCACTGTTGCTTCTACCTCTGTTGCATAGGCCTCTGCTGCTTCTACCACTGCTGCGTCTACATCCTTCCTGCTACTCACACACAAACTCTGCTCTTCCCTTCACTTGGCACTAGTTCAGGACATCTCCGTAGTGAAGCGAAGAGCAGAGTTGCCACCTTTACTTTCATCACCGGCTCCAGCAGCCGCAGTCACTTGGAATCCAAGTCCATACCCTCGTTCTCTCCTCCCCATCCTCTCATCGCCTCCCCTCCCCCACCCCCCTCCTCTCCTCTCCGTTCCCTGTTCCCTGTTCCCTCCCCTTTCCTTGCCAATTCCTCCCCCCATCTCACCTTCATGCCACCAGGCTTGTCTCCGAAGCTGTTGATCTGCCCACGACGAGAGTTGAGGTCGCCAATGACGTCACCCATGTAATCCTCAGGCGTCACCACCTCCACCTTCATCACCAGCTCCAGCAGCCGCAGCAGTTGCTCAGTCTGACTCTAAGCCCTCCTCTCTCACCCATCCCCTCTCCTCTACTTCTCTCACCCTCTGTCTCCTTTCCTCCCCTACCCCATCCCATCTCCCCCACTTCCTCTCTTCCCTTCTGCTCACCTTCATGCCACCCGGCTTGTCACCAAAGCTGTTGATCTGCCCACGGCGCGAGTTGAGGTCACCGATGACGTCACCCATGTGGTCCTCGGGCGTGATCACCTCCACCTTCATCACCGGCTCCAGCAGCCGCGGCGACGCCTTGCCCATGCCCTCCTTGAACGCGCCGCGCGCCGCCAGCTGGAACGCCAGGACACTGGAATCAACCTCGTGGTATGATCCCTCTGGGGGATGGGTTGGAAAAGAGAGTGCAGGAGGGGGTCAGGGAGGGGTTAGAGATGTATTCATGCCCATGCCCTCCTTGAACGCGCCACGTGCCGCCAGCTGGAATGCCAGCACGTTCGAGTCCACCTCGTGGTACGAACCCTCTGGTGGAGGGGGAAGGTGATTGAGGGGGGGAGGGGACGGAGAAAGGGGTTAAAAATGAAGGGGTGAGGGTTACTGGAGAAGGTGGAGGGATGCAACAGGGACGCGGTTGGTGGGAAGGTGGAGGGTTGGGGGAGGGGAAGGTGATGGACAGATGGCTGGGGTTCACTTGGGGCAGTTCGAGAGCAGTTGGAGCAGATTGAGGCAGGTTGGGACAGGTTGGGGCAGGTAGGGGCAGGAAGGGGCAGGTAGGGGCAGGTAGGGGCAGGTAGGGACAGGTAGGGGCAGGTAGGGGCAGGTAGGGGCAGGTAGGGGCAGGTAGGGGCAGGTAGGGGCAGGTAGGGGCAGGTAGGGGCAGGTAGGGGTAGGTAGGGGTGTGAAGGGAAACGGGGAGGAAGCTAGAGATTTAATGAACCCCAAGACGTACACAGTACGTACCAATGAGGGTGGCGCGCACATCGACGACAGGGAACCCAGCGAGCACGCCGCTGCCCATGCACTCCTCCAGCCCCTTCACCACGCCCGGCACATACTCCTTGGGCACGGTCCCGCCCTTGATCTCGTTCTTAAACTCGTACCCACTCCCCGGCTCCAGCGGCTCGAACTTAATCACCACCTCCGCGAACTGGCCCTGCCCGCCCGACTGCTTCTTATGCGTGTACTTAATCTCCACCGGCCGGCCGATACTCTCGCGGTAGTTAACCTGCGGCGCGCCGACGTTAGCATCCACCTTATACTCGCGCTTCAGCCTATCGACGATAATCTCCAGATGCAGTTCCCCCATACCCTCGATGACCGTCTGATTCGTCTCCTCGTCGCGAGAGAAGTGGAAAGAAGGGTCCTCCTGCGCGAGCTTAATCAGACCGTTGGACATCTTATCCACATCCGCCTTAGTCTTAGGCTCAATAGCGACCTTAATGACTGGGTCCGGGAAGTCCATGCGTTCCAGGACAACCGGCGCGTCAGGGTCGCAGAGCGTTTCGCCCGTGATCGTATCCTTGAGCCCTGCGAGCGCGATAATGTCGCCCGTGCGAGCGATCTTGACATCCTCGCGCGAGTTCGCGTGCATCTCTAACAGCCGTCCGATGCGCTCCTTGCGGTTCTTATTCGCGTTCATAACGTACGTCCCGGCCGTCAGCACGCCCGAGTAAACCCGCACGAACGTCAGCGACCCGACAAACGTATCAGTCATGATCTTAAACGCTAGCCCGGAGAACGGAGCGGAGTCGCTAGGGGGGCGGTCGAGGGCCTTCTCGGGATCCTCGGGGTCGGAGCCCTTCATGGGCGGGAGGTCGAGCGGGGAGGGGAGGTAGTCGATGACTGCGTCTAGCAGCGGCTGCACGCCCTTGTTCTTGAACGCCGTACCGCACAGCACCGGGACGAACGACGACCCGATCGTGCCCACGCGGATGAGGCGCTTGAGAGTGGCTTCGTCCGGCTCCTCGCCCTCCAAATACGCCTCCATCGCGTCGTCGTCCTGTGGTGGGGAGGACGGAATGGGGGAGAGTGAAAAAGAGGGTGAAAGGGAGAAAGGTTGATGAAAAGAGTGGCTTCGTCGCCCTCCAAATACGCCTCCATCGCATCGTCGTCCTGTGGTGGGGAGATGAGAGGGGCTGGGGAAGGGGGGGGGGACGGGGAAGCAAACGAGGTGATGAGGGTGAGAGGTGCAGGGCACGAAAGTCAGTCACGTGTGCCGTCTCAAGCAGCGCACTGGAAACGGGTGTGTAGCCAACTGGAACGAGTGACGAGGCGACGACTGCAAAGCCAGTTGATTTGGTTTTCTGGACAGACGTTTGCTGTCTCGGATTGCATCGGTACGCCCAGTCGGGCACTCAACCCGCGTGGGGGTGTGCCGCTCGCAGGACGAATCGTTTCAAACTCGCAGTGCACACGAGCGGCAATACCTCCAGCTACTATCGGCACTGTAAACGAGATGAGCCAACTGACGCAAGTCTGAGTGACCGTTAATTCAGATAAGGCGCGCCATTCTCTTTAACACGCCTCAACCAATCACACGTGCTGTTCGACCACACCCTTTGTAACCCTCCCACCACCCCCCAACCCCCCCACCCTCCACCCACCACCTCCACCCTCCCCATTCCCCCTTCACTCACCAGCTCCACCGCCGACTCGACGAGCTGCGCGCGGTACTCGGCGGCCTTCTCCTGCAGGTCCTCGGGAATGTCGCGGTACTCGAAGCTCGCGCCGAGCTCCTCGCCGTTCCACACGATGGCCTTCATGCGCACGAGGTCCACCACGCCCTGGAACGCGTCCTCCGCGCCGATGGGCAGCTGCAGCACCAGCGGGTTGGCGCCCAGGTTGCTGACGATCATGTCGCGCGTGCGGTAGAAGTTGGCGCCCAGGCGGTCCATCTTGTTCACGAAGCAGATGCGCGGCACGCCGTACTTGTCCGCTTGCCGCCACACCGTCTGGAGGGAGAAAGGGAGGGGGAATTTGGGGGGAAGGGGGGGAGAGAGGCGGGGGGGGAGAGAGGCGGGGGGGGAGAGAGGCGGGGGGGGAGAGAGGCGGGGGGGGGAAGAGGCGGGGGGGGGAAGCGGCGGGTGGGGGAAGCGGCGGGTGGGGCAGGGGGGGAAGAGAGGGAATGGGGGGGACAGAGAGGTTGAGCGTGTGAACGGACAGAGAGTAGCTGAGGCAGGGCGTACCTAAGGCAGGGCGTACCTAAGGCAGGCCGTACCTCGGGCAAAGAGCATTTCGGGCAGGGCGCATCTCGGCAGGGCGAACATCGGGCAGGGCAAATTTTGGGCAGAGCACACCTGAGGCCCTCGGGCAGGGCGTATCTGAGGCAGGGCGTATCTGAGGCAGGGCGTATCTGGGGCAGGGCACAGCTCAGGCGTACCTCGGATTGGGGCTCGACGCCGGCGACGGAGTCGAAGAGGCAGATGGCGCCGTCGAGCACGCGCAGCGCGCGCTCCACCTCGAGCGTGAAGTCGACGTGGCCGGGCGTGTCGATGATGTTGATGCGGTGGTTGTTCCACATGCACGTCGTCGCGGCGGACGTGATCGTGATGCCGCGCTCTTGCTCCTGCGGGGGGGGCAGGCGGGGAGGGCGTGGGCGGGGGCGGGCGGGAGGAGGTGGGAAGAGGGAAGGGGAGGGATGTGAGTGAAGTCAACGTCGATGATGTTGATGCGGTGGTTGTTCCACATGCACGTCGTCGCCGCCGACGTGATCGTGATGCCGCGCTCTTGCTCCTGCGAGGGAAGGAAGGAGGGAGGTGCGGGGGGAGAGGAAGGAGTGAGGGGCGGAGAGCACGCTCCACATGCGCATGGGAGGTGAGACGCAGTCTCTTTACGTCTTGGAACCACCAAGTCCTTCTGAGTCGTCTTAAGAGATGGAGCCATGGGTATGGGGGGTGTGACAGAGTCGGGCGGGTCATATGTTAGAGAACAACGAGTATTGTGAAGTGACTCTGGCTCGGGGGCGGTGATCACGTGTGGTTTACGTGTGGAGAGTCAGATGGAACGAGCGCGATGATGCGACATACGTTTTGTTTCGTATTCCACACCCACAGTCACAGCCTACAATTTCAGGCCCCGCAGCTCACCTGCTCCATCCAGTCCATGGTGGCGGTGCCTATAACTCCGTCCTTCCGAAACAAGCGAGTTAAGAGACCGTGTTTAAACGTCGGGCCTCACCTGCTCCATCCAGTCCATGGTGGCGGTGCCCTCGTGCACCTCGCCGATCTTGTAGTTCTTGCCCGTGTAGAACAGCACGCGCTCCGTCGTCGTCGTCTTGCCCGCGTCGATGTGCGCCATGATGCCGATGTTGCGGTAGTCCTCCAGCGGCACCTGTCGGCCTGCGGAAAGCACATATATGGCAATGTACAGGGAGCGACTTCGCGGATAATGAGACGGCTTGTAACGCGTCAGTGTGTGCCATCATGCGATGCTGCGGTAGTCCTCCAGCAGTACCTGCGGACCTGCACCAGTGCTCACGAGGCGCTGCACGTTACCACATTGCATCTCATGCAGGTCCGCGACTGTTCAGACGCCTTGAAATAAGAAAAGCGCGGGTAAGCGTCCAATTCTATGGTTTGCCGAGACCACGTAAGTGCTGAAGCCACCGGGACGAGCCACGTGGTGGACCAGAATGCGGCTAGAATGGTATTCTATTCGCACGGTACGAGCACGGGATGCACATCCTGTCAACCAATCAGAGCAGTCTCAAGCCGAGCCCACACGCACCTCCCTCGGCCATGCAGATCACGGGCGAGCGTCCAGCGGCGACTGATCGCGACACGGTACGCATCTTGCGGTCGGCAGACTTCTTCGCGTGAGAAGCCTTGGCAGCGCCGGGAAGGTCCTTGCCGGACTTGAGGCCGACGAACGGCACCGCGACGGCCGCATTGCTCGATGCGACCGCGCTGGACCTGTCGCCTGCGACGGGTGCTGCGACGCTGCTGGCGACCTTTAGAGGACAGCTGGCGAGTGACGACGCCATGTTTTGCTGTAGGCGACGAGATAAGCTTCGATTAGAGAGCGCTGTGAGAAGGGCTTCTAGGAACGCGGCCCTGACTGGAAACCGCTGGGAGAGAGCGATTACACCAGCGGAAAGTAACAAGCACGAATGGAGGGTTTGGGAGATAAGGGAATCTCGAGTGGTTGCTGCAACACTGGTGCTGTGGTGAGTGTGTCAGGGGAGGAGCATTGGAACGATGCACGATTGCAGTGTGGCGGGTGCAATCCCAAGCGTCAGTGGATAGAATTCGCGTGGCCAAGCAAGGTGTCAATGCTGGCACAGTGGCGCCACGCTGTCCGTTACAGCGTTACAAAATGCGGACCTTGAACGTGGGCTTTTGACCACCTCGGCCTGAAATTGGTGTTTGAAGTCTGCTGGGTACACCGTGGCGCTCAGAGTATCCTCCACGTGGGCGAAATGACCAGAAGGTTGCGGCGCGAAGTGAAGGTGCGTGGAATAATGATGCCACGTTTCACCATGCGTCAGTCGGTATGTGAGGCAAACGATACGCGATATAAGTTTCGCCATGAATAGACTACAATCAATACGGAAATCGATACCAGCATGAAAACTGTAACTGGGCACAATGTGATTCAAGACTTGCAAACAAGCGTAGAAATAATAACCACACTTGTTATGGACAGAAAAGTACTTTGTTAGCTCTGTACTTCCTTCCATATCATCATCCCCTGAGTGGAGTTCTTGCGCCACCCCCCCTATCAGCCCCTCCAGCTCCCCACCCTCCTCCCGACCCACCACCGCTCCCAGCTCCCCATCCCCCTCCTCCCCCTCCCCCTCCCCCTCCCCCTCCCCCTCCCCCTCCCTCACCACCCCAGCCACCTGCATTTTGCCAACCACTCCCACCGCCGTCTCCAGACTGCCACACTTGGCCTCCTCCCTGCTCCCCCCCACCCCCCCCACTCCACGCCCCTCCCCCCCATCCAATCTTATCCCTCCCACCTCCTGCAGCCCCCCAACCACCCGACCCAGCCTGGTCCCACCGACCTCCCCTTCCCCCTGCCGGTATCGGGGGTGGCGGGGGCAATGCCAAACCACCACCACCACCACCAGAAGCTCCTCGGCGCGGCGTCTCTCTTTTCCCACCACCCCCGCCCGCACCCCCATCGCCACCCTCCACCGGATCATTAAAATGCGCCTGGAAATACTTCACCAAACGATCCGGCGTTGGGAACGTGTGCTTGCGGAACCGGAAACCCTCGGGCGAAACGGTGATATACTCGTGCACGGGGCGGCCGGAGACAGACGCGGAGCGGATGTAGGTGAGCATGAAGGCGCCGGGGTGGTCGTGCGAGAGGGAGAGGTAGTAGGGGATGCGCGCGGGCTCGCGCTCCTTGTCCGTGCGGACTAGGGCGTCCATGTCGCCTTTGGATCCCTGGCGGAACTTGCGGTATGCTGCCATGTCCCGCATGCGCGCTGCCAAGGGCTCGATGTAGCGCGCCATCACCTGGTGGAGAGGGGTGGAAGGGAGAGTGGTACGGAGGGGTTGACAGACAACTTTTTAGAGGCATCTCAAAAGTCGGGGCTCGTTGTGACGCTCCACAAGGGTGGAGAGGGGTGAAGAAGGGTGGAGACAGGTGGAGAGGCAACTTTTCACCTCGTCCAGGTCCTTGTAGAAGTCGTTGCCAATGGTGAGGGTGGCGCCACAGGAGGAACAACACACACACGCACCCGTTGAACCCGCCTTACAACCACCACGGAAACCCATCTCACCTCATCCAAGTCTTCATAGCTCTCATCCCCAATGGTGAGGGTGGCGCCAGAGGAGGAACAACACACACACGCACCCGTTGAACCCGCCTTACAACCACCACGGCAACCCATCTCACCTCATCCAAGTCTTCATAGCTCTCATCCCCAATGGTGAGAGTGCGGCCGAGGCGCAGGAAGCTGGTGGCGGAGGTGCGGTCCTTGCCGCCCTCGTGCACATCCACGTGTGTGAAGGCGCCGTCCGGCAGCTTCATGGTGATGCTCAGATGCGTGGGGCCGCGGCTGCTGGGACGAATCACAACGCTGCCCACATCCTTGTCTGCTAGGACCTGGTGTGTAGACATAAAGGGAATTTACGGAGGGGGCATAGGGGAAGGGAAGAACGGATGTGTGAAGGCGCCGTCCGGCAGCTTCATGGTGATGCTCAGATGCGTGGGGCCGCGGCTGCTGGGACGGATTACAACACTGCCCACATCCTTTTCTGCTAGGACCTGTGTTGGGTAGGAGGAAGCAGAGGGGTAATGCACACGGGAATGCACGGGGAGGGATGGGGGAACGGCGAATGGATGCATGTGACGATTTTTTAGGCGCCTCAAAAGAGGGATGGGGAACGGCGAATGGATGCATGTGATGATAAAGTCAACTCTTCTGGTTTCTTCTTCAAGTGAACTCAGCCTAGCAAGCAGGTATGGATGCAGCCTGCGCGCACATGTTCTGAGTGCAAACATGCAACCTTTCTCAGTTGAGAGCCAAGGCCGCTGCACCTACTTGTCACCATCAAGAGACACATTGTGGAAGAGTGGGTACGTACGCGATCATGTGGGGGCCAAAGGCGGTCGTCCTCTTAAGATCAGGCGTCCCCAAATACTTATAAACATAATCGAAGAGCGGGTAGGTGATCATGCACGCAATTGAAGCGTGCTCATTCACCCCTTGATCATTGAAACGGCAGCGCACACACCTTCTTAGCGCCTTCAAGAGACACGTTGTGGAAGAGCGGGTAGGTGATCATGCGTGCTAGCTAAGAGCGTTCATCGACCCTTGTACAGTTGAAACAACAGCGCACACACCTTCTTAGCGCCCTCCAGCGACACGTTGTGGAAGAGCGGGTAGGTGATCATGCGCGGGCGGAAGGCGGTCTTGCGCTTCTCTTCCTCCTTGCGCTTCCTCTCCTCGGTCGCTGCCTGCTCCTCCTGCTCCACTGCAGCGCGCTGGTAGTACGGGTCCCACTGCCGCATCTCCCTCCACTCGCTGCTCCTCAGATCGCTTCCCTTGCACGTCAGGATCACCTGCACGTGTGGTGGGGGTTGTTGGGAGATGAGCAGAGTGGAACAGGGTGAGGATAGAGAGCAAAGCGAGGCAAGTGGAAGAGCAAACGAAGCAGGGACGCTGCAGATTAACTTTCCTCGGAGACGAACAACAGCATTCATGGAATCTCCCAAGCCCACACACACCTACCCTCGACACACACACCTTGCACTCTTCCATCTCTCCACACACATTTTCCCCCTCTCCTTCTCCCCACACTCACCTTGGCCTCCTCCGTTTTGACTTCCTTGATGCGGCATGTGAGCGGCTGCCCCTCAGTCACCACATCCCTCAGCTCCACATTCGGATCGTCACTGAAATCCCTCCGGTCCACCTCGCCCAGCACACCGCTCTCCAACGCACACAACACCTTGAACTTCAGCACGCGCTTCACCGTCGCAGTCACCACCTTCCCCACCGCCAGACTCTCCTCAGTCTCCCCACTCAGCAGCCAGAACTGCTCGTCCGCATTCAGCGACTCAAACTGCACGCGGCACTCGGCAAACCCGTGCATGAGCTCTCGGCGAATCAGCAGCAGCTTCTCCTTCAGCCCGCCCTGCCCCTTCCGAGCCAGCATCACCGCGTAGTCCTCGAAATCGAGCCTGCGGATCAGGTCCGGGTTGTCCCGAGCCTCGAGGACCACATCTATGCCTCTCTCCTCCACGCTGTGCGGCGTCATGCCGCGGTGGGCCTCGCAGTAGCCATCAGTGGCCACCTTGAGCGCGAGGCGGTAGTCTGCTGGGTGGATGCGAGAGTCATCTAGCGTGTCGTCCTGCCCTCGAACGCGGATGGATGCTGCTGCGTTGATGAACACCACCTGGTGTGTGGGGGGGAGACAACAGGAGTCCAGAGGGCGGAATCGGAAATCCCGCAGCATGGCTTCCTTCCTTCTCACACCCACGAATGCTGCACCGTCCATAAAACACCACCTGTGTGGGGGAGGTGGGGTGGGGAAGCGAACATTGATGGGGGGGCGGGGCAATGCATGAGAGCCAGGCAGGCAGGCACTTGCCAAGTGAAAGGGTAATAATGCATAACAAGGCATCCTGGCCTTGCACGAGTATGAACGCTGCACTGCACCGTTCATGAACACCACGTGGGGGAGGGACAGGTGGGGATAGAGAACGAGTGCAGGGAGGGGACAAGCGTGGGAGGGGGACAAGAGAGGAGGGAAGGCAGTTGGGGGGTGGAGCACAAAGGCAAGGGCGGAACACTAAGGTGGGGACGGAGCAGCAAGGTAAGAAGCATGAAGCAGCGACGCACCTGGTCCAGCAGGAAGGGCGGGTCGATGAGGTCCTTGCGCCGCCTCACCACGCCCTCTCCCAGTATGCGCACCTGATGAGGTAGGGGGGAGGATGGGGGATGGGGGGAAATGGGTGAGGGGTGAGGGAGAGAGAGGTAATAGGGAGAGAGGCGAGCGGGAGAGAGGCGAGTGGGAGATGAAAATGTTTAGAATCCAATTTGATGGCGAGGGGCGAGGGGGAGGATGGTGAGGGGCGAGGGGGAGGATGGTGAGGGGCGAGGGGGAGGATGGTGAGGGGCGAGGGGGAGGATGGTGAGGGGCGAGGGGGAGGATGGTGAGGGGCGAGGGGGAGGATGGTGAGGGGCGAGGGGGAGGATGGTGAGGGGCGAGGGGGAGGATGGTGAGGGGCGAGGGGGAGGATGGTGAGGGGCGAGGGGGAGGATGGTGAGGGGCGAGGGGGAGGATGGTGAGGGGCGAGGGGGAGGATGGTGAGGGGCGAGGGGGAGGATGGTGAGGGGCGAGGGGGAGGATGGTGAGGGGCGAGGGGGAGGATGGTGAGGGGCGAGGGGGAGGATGGTGAGGGGCGAGGGGGAGGATGGTGAGGGGCGAGGGGGAGGATGGTGAGGGGCGAGGGGGAGGATGGTGAGGGGCGAGGGGGAGGATGGTGAGGGGCGAGGGGGAGGATGGTGAGGGGCGAGGGGGAGGATGGTGAGGGGCGAGGGGGAGGATGGTGAGGGGCGAGGGGGAGGATGGTGAGGGGCGAGGGGGAGGATGGTGAGGGGCGAGGGGGAGGATGGTGAGGGGCGAGGGGGAGGATGGTGAGGGGCGAGGGGGAGGATGGTGAGGGGCGAGGGGGAGGATGGTGAGGGGCGAGGGGGAGGATGGTGAGGGGCGAGGGGGAGGATGGTGAGGGGCGAGGGGGAGGATGGTGAGGGGCGAGGGGGAGGATGGTGAGGGGCGAGGGGGAGGATGGTGAGGGGCGAGGGGGAGGATGGTGAGGGGCGAGGGGGAGGATGGTGAGGGGCGAGGGGGAGGATGGTGAGGGGCGAGGGGGAGGATGGTGAGGGGCGAGGGGGAGGATGGTGAGGGGCGAGGGGGAGGATGGTGAGGGGCGAGGGGGAGGATGGTGAGGGGCGAGGGGGAGGATGGTGAGGGGCGAGGGGGAGGATGGTGAGGGGCGAGGGGGAGGATGGTGAGGGGCGAGGGGGAGGATGGTGAGGGGCGAGGGGGAGGATGGTGAGGGGCGAGGGGGAGGATGGTGAGGGGCGAGGGGGAGGATGGTGAGGGGCGAGGGGGAGGATGGTGAGGGGCGAGGGGGAGGATGGTGAGGGGCGAGGGGGAGGATGGTGAGGGGCGAGGGGGAGGATGGTGAGGGGCGAGGGGGAGGATGGTGAGGGGCGAGGGGGAGGATGGTGAGGGGCGAGGGGGAGGATGGTGAGGGGCGAGGGGGAGGATGGTGAGGGGCGAGGGGGAGGATGGTGAGGGGCGAGGGGGAGGATGGTGAGGGGCGAGGGGGAGGATGGTGAGGGGCGAGGGGGAGGATGGTGAGGGGCGAGGGGGAGGATGGTGAGGGGCGAGGGGGAGGATGGTGAGGGGCGAGGGGGAGGATGGTGAGGGGCGAGGGGGAGGATGGTGAGGGGCGAGGGGGAGGATGGTGAGGGGCGAGGGGGAGGATGGTGAGGGGCGAGGGGGAGGGTGGTGAGGGGCGAGGGGGAGGATGGTGAGGGGCGAGGGGGAGGGTGGTGAGGGGCGAGGTGAGCAAGGCACGTGAGGGGCGAGGTGAGCAAGGCACGTGAGGGGCGAGGTGAGCAAGGCACGTGAGGCACGGGGGACATCGATGAGAGGAGAGGAGAGGAGAGGAGGTCAAAGAAAGGAGCATGCGATACAAGCGGGGAGAGAGCACGGAGGAGAGGCACGTTGGGAAAGAGAGCAGGTGTGGTGAGGGAGAGAGAGGGGGCAAAAGGCGCTTGAGACATGGATGAGGGTGGGAAGCAAGGAGGGTGGGAGGCAAGGAGGATCATGACTCACTTTGAGCGTGGAGGCCTTCCTGGGTCCGAGGCCGCACACGAACTGCAGCGGTGCAAAGAGCCAATCCTGCGCCTCCTGTGCCGCGTAGTTCACATCCACTCCCACCTGCCAGCACGGTGAGTATGTGAGGGAAGCAGGAGGGGGGTGATGAATGGATGACTCATAAGCTGACGTGACGGTCGCCTTCTGTGGCAGCCTTCTGTGGTCGCCTTCTGTCGCCTTCTGTGGCACGTAGTTCACATCCACTCCCACCTGGCAGCCAGTGAAAGGCGAGAGTGAGAGGGTGATGAATGGATGCGTTCTGAGTCAACTCATACGCTGCCTCCTGTGCCACATCGTTAACACCCACGGCCACCTGCTAGGTGCAAAGGGATGGGGGCATGGCGAGAGAGCTTTGGCTTGTAAGAAAAGCGGCGTAGCTCCCACTCACGCCCACCTGGCAGTACGGTGAGTGTGTGTCAGGCAGTGGTTGGAGTGCAGCGATGGCGAGAGAACCCCACCCGGTTGGTAACCACACCGAACCCGCTCGGCAGCCATACCTGCTTGGTAACGGCACCTGCCCAGCAATCCCACCTGGTTGGTAACCCTACTTACCTGGTTAGCAGCAGTAACCATGACGCACTCAAGCGCGTCGTACGCGTCACCGGGCATGTTATGAGACGCCTCAATGCCTGGTAATCCTGCCTACTCAGCAGCTCACCTGCTTCACAACCCCACCTAGTTGGTAACCGCATGGCCTGCACCTGATTGGTAACCCTACCTGGTTGGTAACGGTAACCATGACGCGCTCAAGTGCGTCGTACACGTCATCGGGCGGCAGCAGGTCCTGAGAGCGGTGGAAATTGGCAGATAGCACCTCCCTCGCCGGCCCAAACAGGCATGCTGCTAGCGCCAGCCGGTTCTGCATGTAGCGCCCGAGCCCTACCGTGCGGCGCACTATGCCTGGAGGGGAAGAGGAGGGAGGGGGGAAAAGGGGAGGGGAGATGTGAGGTCGGAAGACGTTCAGAAAGAGGTTATGAAGGCCGCGGGAAAGAGATGGGCGGCAGGCAGGGGGGGGCGTGAATTGGGGAAACGAAGTGAGAGAAAAGAAGAGTGCTGAAAATGGGTGAGAGATGAATTCTGTACGTGCTGCCCTGGTATGGTACAACGGTGCACCGCACCGCACCGCACTATGCCTGGACAGGCCTGGGTTTCTCTTCCTCTGGCTTCAAGGGCACTCTCATCATAGCAAGCGGTGCTGCTCTGCTCTCTTGCGCACCAGCCTGAGAGGTACAACAAGTGCTTGCCTCGCTGCAAACTGCTTGCATGACTGTGGGGTGCGAGTGCTTGCCTGGCTGCGAGGGCAGGTGCTCCTGGGAAATGGCAGAGTTCTCGTAGAGAAGCGCGAGTGTCTCGTCTTGAAACACCACCTGCCATGGGACGTGAGCCAAGATGGGTGCACGGGGGAGGGAGGGGGGGAAGGTAGGTAGGGAGGAGTCTTGAGCTTGCATGCACGCACATATGGGGGTCCAGAAGTAGGGCGGGCAGAGGTGGGAGTGAACTAACGAGAGAACATGAGCGTGGCAGGGAGCGTGGCAGGGGGGTGACGGGTGGATGAGTGCAAGCAAGAGCAGCAGGGCACTCACGCGGACGTTGTCGACATCGGAGGTGAGGTCCCGAGGGAAGTGCTCCACGATCTTGAATATCACCTGGTGGGGCGGGAAGAGGGGAGGGGAGGGATGGGAGGATGCAGGGAGCTGAATGTGCAAGCCAACCGGCAATGCCAGATGAGGGGGGAAGGAAAGTGGCAGGAGATGGCCAGACACGCAGTGTGATGGAGTCACATCCCCACCACATCCCAATACGCAGTGCGATGGAGTCACATCCCCACCACATCCCAATACGCAGACGTGGTATTGGGACCATGTGGTGGGTGGTGGGGCGAACCATTCCTTCCCCCCACCCCACCACACGAGGTTTGCCCTGCCCACCACCACCACATGCCGTACTACCCCCAACCCAACACCCGCACCCCTTACTGCCATGCCATCCCCCACGCACCTCCCAGATCTCGTCCTTGAGTCGCTCGCACGCGAGGTTGGCCCCGCCCACCACCACGACGTGCGGCTTGTGCTCCTTCACAAACGCCATCAGCCGCCGCTCGTCCTCCCGCTTCTTCATCACCATCACCTGCTGCTCGCCCCCTCCCCCTCCCCCTCCCCCCGCTCCCCCTCCTCCCCCCATGCCCCCCCCTGCGCCCCCACCTAGGGCAGCGGCGTCCCCTTTAGGCTGGCCGGTGCGCGCACAGAGGAAGCCGGTATGGAGGAAATCCACCATCTCCCCTGCGGCGTTCAGCATGGCAAAGGTGGTCGCGGGGTTCCCAGGCCCCCAGCAGCACGCCATCACTCGCAGCCACGGCTGCCCCCCTCCCCCATGCTCCTCCCCTCCGCCATGCCTCCCGCCCCTTCCTCCCCCGCCCCGCATGCCCCCTCCCCCGCCTCCCCCCATCCCTCCCCCTCCACCGCCCCCCGCCCCCTTCGCCCGGACGTCAAAGGGGGCGACGGAGACGTGTTTCCAGAGGGCGAGAGCGCACTGCTCTGCCACGAATGCCTTGGCGCGGCCGGTGAGCAGCAGGCGCGTCTCCTTGTGCATCGTCGGCAGCAGCCGGGCGGCGATCGCCGCCCGGAGAATGGTGCGGCGCTGCTCGTTCCATAGCGAGGCGAAGTGGGAGACGCCGTCCGAGAGGTAGGCCGCTTCAAACTCCTGAGAGGAGGCAGGCACGGGAGGGAGAGAGTGAGGGGAAGCAGGAATGGGGAAGCGGGCGTGGAAGCACGGGGAAACGAAGGTGACAAGGTCGTTATGAGATGAGCAAGGCGAAATGGTAGACACCGTTTGAGAGGTAGGCTGCCTTAAACTCCTGAGAGGATGCGGGGGAGGGAGAGAATGCAGGGGAGGAATGGCATGGAGAAGCAGGAAAACAGGGAGACGAAGCTGCTAATTTGAACAGCCCTGATTGTTCCATAAAGAGGTAGCATGTGCCATGTGTGCATGCCAGTGCATCATGTCCCACTGCTGCCTTACCTGAATCACGCCCCCATGCACACCACAGGCAAGCAAAACCCTAAGCCCTGCACATATCACATCCCCTGCCGAAACCCATCATTGCGAACCCTCAACGTCACATGCTCAGTCCTCCTGCACCACCCTCCTCCAGCTCAACCGCAGTCTTGCCCTACACCCTGAACCCTAAACCTGGAAACCTAGCCATTATAACGACCCCGCGGGCTTGATTGTCAACCCCTGTGAACTGGATGTCCTAAAACCATGGGCCTTAAACCTTAAACCCTCAACCCCTGCACCGCTCTGCACCCACCTGGATGACGTTCTCCTGCACGACAGCGGGCGGCAGCCCCAGTTCGACCTTCACGAGCCCCTGAGACTCAGCCTTGGCGATCAGCAGCCACTGGTCGTCGCGGAACTCGCCCACCGGCTTGTCCTTGAGGCGCTCTATGCCCGCAAAGCGATGGAATGTATCGATCACCTGCCATGCAGCATGCACATGCAGGGGGGGTTGAAAGGTTGAAAACATATGCCTGGAAGGAAACTCGCCCACCGGCTTGTCCTTGAGGCGCTTTATGCCCGCAAAGCAAAGCGGTGGAACGTGTCTATCACAAACTGCTATGTGCGGGGAGAAGATGGGCAAGAGGTGGGCGGGGAAGGTTGGAGGCGGGTGGGAAGGAAGGGAGAAAGGGGTGGTTGCAAAGGGATGGTGACAAGCCGAACGTGTGTTTCTCCAGCATTGAAGAGTGGGCTCAAGGTATTCATGGGTGTGTGATCCCGCAAAATCCACCGAGGAGCTTTACCGGACAGCACAGGTGTTGACATTGCGGACATAAATAAACCCAGTGGGGAGCGGTACCTGGAGACCAAGATGTTACCTGGCTTAACTTAACCGCCATACAACCAAGGGAGCGAGTAATCTGGCGGCCAGGGCATTACCTGGCGGCCGCGTGGAGTGGGGTTGGTGGAGACGATGGCACGCTTGTTGAAGATCTCCCTCACGTGCTCGCGCACCTTGGGCTCTATGCTTATCTCCACCTCCGCCTGGTACGGCCACGTACACACAATATGGGATGGGCGGCACGCACAATGTTGAGCATTCCCACAACATCTCCATCCATCTCCCTCCCGTGCTCCCGCACCTTGGGCTCTATGCTGATCTCCACCTCCGCCTGGCACCAACGCACACACAAGCGGTGTCAGCCGTGCGGGTACAGACATGAGACGACGCACAGCACACGCGTACTCTAGGAAAGCAGCAGTCAGCACCCTTTCCACAACAAACTGCAACGAATTCCCGATGCAACACAGCACATGGATCCCACTGGTGGGCTTTTAATGTCGAATGAAGAGTCGGCATGCAATAAACCGCATGGCTGGCTCCTCCTTGTGCACGGCACGCAATCATGCAACGCGGGATGGCAACGCGGGATGGCATGGGAGCATGCGGTGCGATGGCAGAAAGATCACCAGATGCAACCAGATGAAGCCCCGTCGTCCCCTCCCCACGCACCATGTGGCGGGCGCCTCTGAGCACGAGAGCAGGCGAGGGGAACTCGGCACAGATGTACTCCGTTGCTACCTCGTCTGGTGATAGCGCCGTGTCCTCCACCTCGTGTTGCTGCCACAGTGTGACCACACACACATGCACATGCACATGCACATGCACATGCACATGCACATGCACATGCAGGCAGAGAGGCATGAGAGCAAGGGAGAGGAGGTGGTTGAGTGGGACTAAACAGGAACTCAGCACAGATGTAATCGATTGCCACCTCCTCCTGGCTCGCACCTTATACATGGAGATCAAATTCTCCCCCAGCTGGAACGCTGACAGCCCAATGCGCTTCACCACGCCCTTCAGCCCCGCGCGCCGACACACCGAGTACATGGACCGCTTCCGCGGCCGCCTCTGCACCGCCCCACCCCCTCCCCGCCCGCCCTCCTCCGCCACCGCCTCCTCCGGGGGAAACTGGAGGTTGAACTTGGCGTCTACGTCCTCTACAGCAGGCTCCGAGAGAGCACAGTCGAGGGCGTGCAGCACGCCTTGCATGGCGAGCTGCCGCTCTGCTTCTTCGTCCTCGTCCACTCGCGGCCGCTCGTAGGCCGAGCGGAGAGAGCGCTTGCGGCGTTGGAGGAGCAGCCAACGGCGGTCCCACTGCTGGATGGCCCATAAAGCCTGAGTCAGAGGGGGGTGGGGGGTGGAAAGGGGGGTTTCGGGTGCATGGGAGGACAGGGAAGGGATGATGGGTACCCACGGCTTTGGCCACGCAGCAACAGGCAGCCCTGGGTTCGGAAAGCGCGCAGTCGAGTGGAGGGCGTGCAGCACGCCTTGCATGGCGAGCTGGCACCCTGCACTGCACTGCACTGCACTGCACTGCACTGCACTGCACTGCACTGCACTGCACTGCACTGCACTGCACTGCACTGCATGCGCTCCGCCTCCTCATCCTCGTCCACTCGCGGCCGCTCGTATGCGGAACAGAGGGAGCACTTGCGACGTTGGAGTAGTAGCCAGCAGCGATCCCACTGCTGGATGGCCCACAGGGCTTGAATTGGAGAAGAGCAGGGGGAGAGGTGGGGGGGAGGAGGGGTTGGTTGTGTGGGGAAGAAAGGGAAGGGGTCAATGGGGAAGCAGCAGCAGCAGCCAGCGTCGGTCCCATTTCTGGATGGCCCACAGGGCCTGCAGGGAGGGGGTGGGGGGAGAGGAGGGGTTGGTTGTGTGGGGAGGAGGGGAAGGGGTCAATGGGATGGGAAAGCAGCGGCAGCAGCAGCAGCAGCCAGCGTCGGTCCCATTTCTGGATCGCCCACAGGGCCTGGATTGTACAGGAGGGGAGGGGATGGGGAGGGGAGTGGGGAGGTCGGTTGCATCGGGAGGGAAGAGAGATGGGAAAGGGGGGTGAAGTGACAGGGGGAGGAAGGAGCAAGGCAAGGAACGAGGCGAGATTGGGAAATAGGCAAGTGGGTAAGTGGGATGGGATGGTATGCGTAGAAAGGAATGAAGTGGGATTGAGGAGGAAAGAGGACGAGGCACATCAACAGGACAAGAGGGAGGGGGTGGAAAAAGCAGGACGAGGGGAGGAGGGGAACAGGAAAGAACAAGAGGTGGAAGGGAGGTGGAAGAGGGAAGCGGATTGGAAGAGGAAGAGGAAGAATGGTGAAAACAGGGAGAGCGAAGGGTGGGAGGGGAGGAAATCCTAAAGCATTGCATTCCAAGGGAGGTACCTGAAAAAATTGCAGCCCTGTGGCTGCTCGGGCAACATATTCAGGAAAAAAAAACATAGAGACCCGGCAAATCCATGGGATGGGAGGTACCTGGAAGGGCTGCAGCTGCGGCTGCTCGTCGAGCTTGTCAGTCTCCACGAGGGCGGGACAGATTGCCTTCTTGTGCATCGCTATGTAGGGCACCTGGTGGGGGCGGGGGAGGCATAGGGAGGGTGGGAGTATGGGAGGAGGGCCAGAAAGGGAGGGGAGGGCCAGGAGGGAGGGGCATGAGGGGAGAGCCAAGGATCCATGGGTGCACTAAAAGCGAGTACAGATGGGATGGGATGCGAAGAAGGGGGAAGCGAAGGAGTTGAGGAGAGGACTGGAGAAACAGGAAACTAGGATGGACAACAACAGTACAGACTGCTGCGTCGAATGAGTTGCATCACTTGAGCCGATGCAATGCAACCTCACGAAGTCCGTCACATCCAGACCAGAGCGACTCAGCACAGTGACACTGCACCTCGCACCCTCCCCCCTCCCCACACAGAACCTCGCACCCATCCACTCTCTTCCCTCCCCTCTCCTCTCCCCCCTCCACCGCACCTCCACTTTCGCATCGTGCAGCTCTTCCAGCACCGCAGCAATCTGCTCGATGGCTCCATCCCGCGCCGCCACGGCCTCTCGTCGGCACTTCTCCACGTCCTCCCTTGCGCACGTGGCAGCGCGCCTCTCCGCGTCAGCGACGTACGAGAACTCGCCCCGCCGCAGGTGGTCGGGGGCTAAGGAGCCAAACACGCGCTCGTAGATCCACTCGGCCTCGGGTAGGTGGTCCTCGTTCTCGGGGATCACACCCACCACCTCCTCCAAAAGCTGGGGCAGGTGAAGTGGACAAGGGGAGTTGGAGAGGGAGGGGGAGCGGGGAGAGGGGGAAGTGGAGAGAGGGGGAGGAGGGGGAGTATGGGGGAGCGGGAGACGGGCGGGGAAGGAGAAGGGGGGAGGGGAAGGGGAGATGCGGCGGCAATGAGAGGGAGGAACTGATGGGTGCGCCGCAGGTGGTCGGGCGCCAGGGCGCCGAAGACGCGCTCGTAGATCCACTCGGCCTTGGGTAGGTGGTCCTCGCTCTCGGGGAGCAGCTGGGGGGCAGGTGAGGTGGGCAAGGGGAGTTAAGGGGTGGGGGAGGAGGGGGAGGTGCGACGATGAGCGAGCACAAGACGATGAGCGAGCACAAGACGATGAGCGAGCACAAGACGATGAGCGAGCACAAGACGATGAGTAAGCACAACGGATGCCGAGTGCAAGTGGAGTGGAGAATGAGTGGGGGAGGAGAAAAGGGGGGGTGGGGGGGAGGGGGGGTTGGAGCCCCTGCCATGCCCGATACCAGCTCTCAATTCCGTGCAAAGAGGAATGCATGCCGTGCCGTGCAAGAGGCGCGACTACATTTGCCAAAAGGAAAGCCGGAAAGGGGGAGGGGCAGGGTTGGGGGGGGGAGAGAAAGACAAGGGTAAGAGCCCAGCCCCCACAGCTCAACCTCAACCCTCACGTCTCTTCTCTCACTTCTCACGTCTCGCCCACCCACCTGCAGCCTCTCGGGCACATCTCTGGCTCGAATGGCTTCATCCCGCTCAGTCATATACTTGGCCTCCCAAGCTCGGCTTTCCACAGCACCCTCTCTCACCTTCACGTCTCGCCACCCACCTGCAGCCTCTCGGGCACGTCTCTCGCCCTGATAGCTTCATCCCGCTCCGTCATATACTTGGCCTCCAGCAGGCTCGGCTCATACTGCTTCGACAGCGCCGACGCCCCGCCCGCGCCCTCCCGCCCGTACTCCTCCCCACCCTCCGCCCCCATCCCATCCTCATAATAGTACCCCCCCGCGCCCCCCTCCCCTCCCTCCCTCCTCTGCCTCTCCAGCTCCACGCGCCGCCGCTCCAGCAGATCCGCCACGTCACCGAAAATATCCTGCGCTTCAAGAAGCGCCTCGGAGGTGACACCTGGCATGCGCGTGCCCTTTTTCTTCTTCTTGCGGCGGCGCCGCCCGTGCTCGTCGGTGTCGTCCACCCCGCCCTCCACTATGAAGTCGGCCATTTCGTCCTCTTCCTCCTCGTCCTCCTCCCCGTCCTCCTCCTCCATCTCCTCCTCCTCGCCCCTGCCCTCCCTCTCCTGGAAATCCTCAGGCACGTCTGGGGAGGAAAGAGGGATGGGGGGGGGAGAGGTGGGAATGGGAGGGGGGAAGGGAAGGGAGGAAGGGGCGGGGGAAGGTGGGGGGAGAGGAGAGGTGGGGAGGTGAGAGGGGAAAGAGGTGGGTCGGTGTCGTCCAGCCCGCCCTCCACTATGAAGTCTGCCATTACGTCCTCCTCCTCCTCGTCCCTGCCCTCCCTCTCCTGGAAATCTGCAGGCACGTCTGGGGGACAGACGACGGAGAGGAGGAAAGAGAGAGGTAGGACGAGAGAAAAGAGATGGGATGGGGGGCGGAAGGGGAGATGTGGGGAGGTGGAAAGGGAAGGGGGGAAGATGATGAGAGAGGCAGAGACAAAAGAGAGCACGGAATGGTGGAGAACAGCAGCGTGAGGAGGGATTGCAGGGAGAAAAACGACGGAGATGAGAATGTGAGGAGCGAAGCGAGCCTACGCTCTTCGAACTGAAACGACTCATCGTTACTCACAGCAGCTAACCCTCCTCATCCACAACCCTTCACATCATCATCCCCACAAAGACTCTTGCTCTCATCCTAAACTTCTTTCATTCCCATAACCCTCCCACCCTCATCCCATAACTCATTCACCCTCGTCCCAGAAACCCCTCATCCCTCATCACCCTCATCCCAAAAACCGTCCTCCTCATCCTCCTTGACCTTTCCTTAACCCCCCTTCCCGGCCTCATCCCAAAAAAACTCACTCACTCTCACCCCATAACCCTCTCACCCTCATCGCCAAAGATCTCCCTTTCAACGCGCTGCTGCGCGCGCATGCCTCCCTCCTCGTCCTCCTCATCGTCCATCAGCAACCCGTCCTCGTCCCCCCCCATGTGCCTCGCCTTCTTCAGCCGCCGAAACTTCTTGTCCTTCTGCCTCCCAGGGAACGCACATGGCATGGCAGTCACACGGCAGTCACACGGCAGTCACATGACAATCACATGACAGTCACATGACAAAGACATGCGGAGGACAGACAGAGGGCATGGAGAGAACACAAGACAAGACCAAATGAGTGAGGGAAAGCAGCACTCAAACCGCCAGAGCTCCCTGCCCCCCTGGAAGAGTGCGGGCAGGGAGAGGAGGGCAGGACGGAGGAGGGCAGGACGGAGGAGGGCAGGAGGGGCAAGGCAGTGGGAGTCCATGCTTCAGACGCTTGCGCCTTTGAAGCCTCGGCTGGCCTTGTATGACCACTCTAAGCATACACTGCACTGCACTGCACTGCACTGCACTGCACTGCACATGCCCGGAATCACACCGGTCCGGGCCGGGCCAGATTTTCTTATTTCCTGGCCTGAGGACCAGAAGACAGAGCCAGGCCAAGCTAGACAAGGGCTGCCAGCGCGTTGCTCAAGACAGGCTGGCTCGGGACCGGCCCGAGTAACTCTCGTTTGGGTCACCCTACTGATGTGCATCAAAACCTTCATTACAAATTTACGTGAGTCTCTGATCCTGCGTAACCACAAAATCTCAACACTATGTACACAACGAATACCACAATACCGAACAACCACCAACCACTGTGGAGTGGGAGCAGGCAGCAGTGCGAGTCTCAGGAAAGAACGGCAAAAAGAGAACAAGAGGAGCTGGGAACTCTAGAAAGAACTTCTGATTCCTCTGTCTTGCAGGAACTCTTAGGCCGCCAAACTTGCCTCGTATGTACGTACGACATCATCATCATCATCATCATCATCATCATCATCATCATCATCATCATCATCATCATCATCATCATCATCATCATCATCATCATCATCATCATCATCATCATCATCATCATCATCATCATCATCATCATCATCATCATCATCATCATCATCATCATCATCATCATCATCATCATCATCATCATCATCTACACGTCACGCACCTTGGCAGGGCGGTGAAAGCCCCCCACGCCACTCTCCTGCAGCAGCGCATAGTCGTCCTCATCCAACTCGTCCTCCTCCTCCTCCCTGCTCGCCCGGACACCGCACACACACAGTGAATCGGAGGTTGGGGATGGAGGGAGGGCGGGGGCACGAGGGGTGGTTTGGAATGAGGCATGGGAGATGGGGGAGACAGAGGTCTGAAGAAGAGGGAGGGGCATGTGGAGCACTCCCTAACTCTTGCTCACACACACGCAACAAGTGAAGTGATGCCCAAGCAGAGAGAGGCCAGAGAGTGCGGAATTGGCAAGGCAAGACAACGTCCATGCAGGCAGCACCAAATTCCCAACCCATCCCTCCCAAGCACGTGAACCTTGCTGCACTGGCGCCCCTCGTCTCCCCCTCTTCCCGCCCCTCCTCTTCTCACCTCTTCCGGCGCTTCTTCTTCTTCTTCTCCCTGCGCTCCTCGTCACTCCCCGGTCCCTCCTCGCCCCCCCCTTCCTCCTCCTCGCCTTCACCGCCCTCCTCCTCCTCCTCATCCCCGTCCACCATCCACCCGTCCTTCTCATACTCGTCCTGCCCCTCCTCTGATTCCCTCACCCGGAAACAACACACACACACACACACACACACACACACACATACACACAAATGCACACACATGCACACACACGCATACTCACACACACACGCACACGCACACGCACAAACACACACACACACGCACACGCACACGCACATACACACGCACACAAATGCACACACATGCACACACACGCATACGCACACACACACGCACGCACACACACACGCACACACACACACACACACGTTCACGAAAAGAGACACAAACGCGCGATTAGAAAAGAAGGACTGGCGCACAATGGGGCGACCAGCAGGACTGGCGCACAATGGGGCGACCAGCAGGACTGGCGCACAATGGGGCGACCAGCAGGACTGGCGCACAATGGGGCGACCAGCAGGACTGGCGCACAATGGGGCGACCAGCAGGACTGGCGCACAATGGGGCGACCAGCAGGACTGGCGCACAATGGGGCGACCAGCAGGACTGGCGCACAATGGGGCGACCAGCAGGACTGGCGCACAATGGGGCGACCAGCAGGACTGGCGCACAATGGGGCGACCAGCAGGACTGGCGCACAATGGGGCGACCAGCAGGACTGGCGCACAATGGGGCGACCAGCAGGACTGGCGCACAATGGGGCGACCAGCAGGACTGGCGCACAATGGGGCGACCAGCAGGACTGGCGCACAATGGGGCGACCAGCAGGACTGGCGCACAATGGGGCGACCAGCAGGACTGGCGCACAATGGGGCGACCAGCAGGACTGGCGCACAATGGGGCGACCAGCAGGACTGGCGCACAATGGGGCGACCAGCAGGACTGGCGCACAATGGGGCGACCAGCAGGACTGGCGCACAATGGGGCGACCAGCAGGACTGGCGCACAATGGGGCGACCAGCAGGACTGGCGCACAATGGGGCGACCAGCAGGACTGGCGCACAATGGGGCGACCAGCAGGACTGGCGCACAATGGGGCGACCAGCAGGACTGGCGCACAATGGGGCGACCAGCAGGACTGGCGCACAATGGGGCGACCAGCAGGACTGGCGCACAATGGGGCGACCAGCAGGACTGGCGCACAATGGGGCGACCAGCAGGACTGGCGCACAATGGGGCGACCAGCAGGACTGGCGCACAATGGGGCGACCAGCAGGACTGGCGCACAATGGGGCGACCAGCAGGACTGGCGCACAATGGGGCGACCAGCAGGACTGGCGCACAATGGGGCGACCAGCAGGACTGGCGCACAATGGGGCGACCAGCAGGACTGGCGCACAATGGGGCGACCAGCAGGACTGGCGCACAATGGGGCGACCAGCAGGACTGGCGCACAATGGGGCGACCAGCAGGACTGGCGCACAATGGGGCGACCAGCAGGACTGGCGCACAATGGGGCGACCAGCAGGACTGGCGCACAATGGGGCGACCAGCAGGACTGGCGCACAATGGGGCGACCAGCAGGACTGGCGCACAATGGGGCGACCAGCAGGACTGGCGCACAATGGGGCGACCAGCAGGACTGGCGCACAATGGGGCGACCAGCAGGACTGGCGCACAATGGGGCGACCAGCAGGACTGGCGCACAATGGGGCGACCAGCAGGACTGGCGCACAATGGGGCGACCAGCAGGACTGGCGCACAATGGGGCGACCAGCAGGACTGGCGCACAATGGGGCGACCAGCAGGACTGGCGCACAATGGGGCGACCAGCAGGACTGGCGCACAATGGGGCGACCAGCAGGACTGGCGCACAATGGGGCGACCAGCAGGACTGGCGCACAATGGGGCGACCAGCAGGACTGGCGCACAATGGGGCGACCAGCAGGACTGGCGCACAATGGGGCGACCAGCAGGACTGGCGCACAATGGGGCGACCAGCAGGACTGGCGCACAATGGGGCGACCAGCAGGACTGGCGCACAATGGGGCGACCAGCAGGACTGGCGCACAATGGGGCGACCAGCAGGACTGGCGCACAATGGGGCGACCAGCAGGACTGGCGCACAATGGGGCGACCAGCAGGACTGGCGCACAATGGGGCGACCAGCAGGACTGGCGCACAATGGGGCGACCAGCAGGACTGGCGCACAATGGGGCGACCAGCAGGACTGGCGCACAATGGGGCGACCAGCAGGACTGGCGCACAATGGGGCGACCAGCAGGACTGGCGCACAATGGGGCGACCAGCAGGACTGGCGCACAATGGGGCGACCAGCAGGACTGGCGCACAATGGGGCGACCAGCAGGACTGGCGCACAATGGGGCGACCAGCAGGACTGGCGCACAATGGGGCGACCAGCAGGACTGGCGCACAATGGGGCGACCAGCAGGACTGGCGCACAATGGGGCGACCAGCAGGACTGGCGCACAATGGGGCGACCAGCAGGACTGGCGCACAATGGGGCGACCAGCAGGACTGGCGCACAATGGGGCGACCAGCAGGACTGGCGCACAATGGGGCGACCAGCAGGACTGGCGCACAATGGGGCGACCAGCAGGACTGGCGCACAATGGGGCGACCAGCAGGACTGGCGCACAATGGGGCGACCAGCAGGACTGGCGCACAATGGGGCGACCAGCAGGACTGGCGCACAATGGGGCGACCAGCAGGACTGGCGCACAATGGGGCGACCAGCAGGACTGGCGCACAATGGGGCGACCAGCAGGACTGGCGCACAATGGGGCGACCAGCAGGACTGGCGCACAATGGGGCGACCAGCAGGACTGGCGCACAATGGGGCGACCAGCAGGACTGGCGCACAATGGGGCGACCAGCAGGACTGGCGCACAATGGGGCGACCAGCAGGACTGGCGCACAATGGGGCGACCAGCAGGACTGGCGCACAATGGGGCGACCAGCAGGACTGGCGCACAATGGGGCGACCAGCAGGACTGGCGCACAATGGGGCGACCAGCAGGACTGGCGCACAATGGGGCGACCAGCAGGACTGGCGCACAATGGGGCGACCAGCAGGACTGGCGCACAATGGGGCGACCAGCAGGACTGGCGCACAATGGGGCGACCAGCAGGACTGGCGCACAATGGGGCGACCAGCAGGACTGGCGCACAATGGGGCGACCAGCAGGACTGGCGCACAATGGGGCGACCAGCAGGACTGGCGCACAATGGGGCGACCAGCAGGACTGGCGCACAATGGGGCGACCAGCAGGACTGGCGCACAATGGGGCGACCAGCAGGACTGGCGCACAATGGGGCGACCAGCAGGACTGGCGCACAATGGGGCGACCAGCAGGACTGGCGCACAATGGGGCGACCAGCAGGACTGGCGCACAATGGGGCGACCAGCAGGACTGGCGCACAATGGGGCGACCAGCAGGACTGGCGCACAATGGGGCGACCAGCAGGACTGGCGCACAATGGGGCGACCAGCAGGACTGGCGCACAATGGGGCGACCAGCAGGACTGGCGCACAATGGGGCGACCAGCAGGACTGGCGCACAATGGGGCGACCAGCAGGACTGGCGCACAATGGGGCGACCAGCAGGACTGGCGCACAATGGGGCGACCAGCAGGACTGGCGCACAATGGGGCGACCAGCAGGACTGGCGCACAATGGGGCGACCAGCAGGACTGGCGCACAATGGGGCGACCAGCAGGACTGGCGCACAATGGGGCGACCAGCAGGACTGGCGCACAATGGGGCGACCAGCAGGACTGGCGCACAATGGGGCGACCAGCAGGACTGGCGCACAATGGGGCGACCAGCAGGACTGGCGCACAATGGGGCGACCAGCAGGACTGGCGCACAATGGGGCGACCAGCAGGACTGGCGCACAATGGGGCGACCAGCAGGACTGGCGCACAATGGGGCGACCAGCAGGACTGGCGCACAATGGGGCGACCAGCAGGACTGGCGCACAATGGGGCGACCAGCAGGACTGGCGCACAATGGGGCGACCAGCAGGACTGGCGCACAATGGGGCGACCAGCAGGACTGGCGCACAATGGGGCGACCAGCAGGACTGGCGCACAATGGGGCGACCAGCAGGACTGGCGCACAATGGGGCGACCAGCAGGACTGGCGCACAATGGGGCGACCAGCAGGACTGGCGCACAATGGGGCGACCAGCAGGACTGGCGCACAATGGGGCGACCAGCAGGACTGGCGCACAATGGGGCGACCAGCAGGACTGGCGCACAATGGGGCGACCAGCAGGACTGGCGCACAATGGGGCGACCAGCAGGACTGGCGCACAATGGGGCGACCAGCAGGACTGGCGCACAATGGGGCGACCAGCAGGACTGGCGCACAATGGGGCGACCAGCAGGACTGGCGCACAATGGGGCGACCAGCAGGACTGGCGCACAATGGGGCGACCAGCAGGACTGGCGCACAATGGGGCGACCAGCAGGACTGGCGCACAATGGGGCGACCAGCAGGACTGGCGCACAATGGGGCGACCAGCAGGACTGGCGCACAATGGGGCGACCAGCAGGACTGGCGCACAATGGGGCGACCAGCAGGACTGGCGCACAATGGGGCGACCAGCAGGACTGGCGCACAATGGGGCGACCAGCAGGACTGGCGCACAATGGGGCGACCAGCAGGACTGGCGCACAATGGGGCGACCAGCAGGACTGGCGCACAATGGGGCGACCAGCAGGACTGGCGCACAATGGGGCGACCAGCAGGACTGGCGCACAATGGGGCGACCAGCAGGACTGGCGCACAATGGGGCGACCAGCAGGACTGGCGCACAATGGGGCGACCAGCAGGACTGGCGCACAATGGGGCGACCAGCAGGACTGGCGCACAATGGGGCGACCAGCAGGACTGGCGCACAATGGGGCGACCAGCAGGACTGGCGCACAATGGGGCGACCAGCAGGACTGGCGCACAATGGGGCGACCAGCAGGACTGGCGCACAATGGGGCGACCAGCAGGACTGGCGCACAATGGGGCGACCAGCAGGACTGGCGCACAATGGGGCGACCAGCAGGACTGGCGCACAATGGGGCGACCAGCAGGACTGGCGCACA